ATGGAGCAGGGGTCGGTTGGTCACCTCGGCCTGTCCATTTCTTTGTTGTCGATGAATAGTTGTTGTTCTGCTATCTATCTTGAGTTCCGCACAGAAGGCTTCGAATTTCAAGTCGATGAACTAGGACCATTGTTGGTGATGAGGACCTGAGGGATGCCAAAATGATAGATGATGTTCCTCCATAGGAACCCCTAGGCATTCTATGCAGTGATGCGTGCCAGGGGCTCGACCTCTACCCATTTTGTGAAATAGTCTACCACGACGAAGAGGTAATTTTTCTATTCGAACGCGGTGGGGAATGCTCTGAGGATGTCCATCCCTCATTGGGCAAAAGGCCATGAACTAAGAATGTGTGTGAGGAGAGGAAGACACCTTAGGTAGGGGAGAGTGTGAAATCAACGATAGAGCTGGCCTTAGATGAGGCAATATCGGGCCAACCTATGGGTGAGCCTCCTTGTTTCAGTTCGGTCCATCGAAAGGGTGCCGCCCTGGAGGTACTATATGATGAGATACATCCATGATGGCTCTTGCTGGACTGGGAGGACTATAAATTTTTCTTCTGAAATAATGGTTTGCGCTAAAGTGTCCATTCTGACTATCATGTTGAAGTCGACACGGCGAGTTGGCAAGCTTTGATAATGCATCGACCCGGATGTTCTTGACTCTAGGGATTTGTTGTATGGCAAAGTGCTCAAGCTGTTGGATGAGTGCTTGCACTTTTTGCAGGTAACTTTCCATGGTGGGCTCTCTTGCTTTGAACTGGCCGGTGACCTAGTTGACCACCAGTTGGGAGTCGTTGAAGGCTTCCACGTGCCTTGCTCTGACATCCAGAGCGAGCTAAAGTCCGACTATTAGGGCTTTGTATTCCACCTCATTGTTAGACACCTTGAACTCAAACCTCAAGGCATGCTCCAGGGTGGTGTGATTTGGGCCGAGGAGGATGAACCCGGCGTTGCTGCCGATTGGACAACCCATCCACATGGAGAGTCCAGGCTGGTGGGACCTCGGTTGGGTTCTGTGCTGAGAAAGTACACTCAGTCAGGAAGTCGGTTAGAGCTTGGGCTTTGATGGATGGCCAAGGTGTGTAGTCGATATCGAACTCATTCAGTTCCATCATCCATTTGATTAGGCATCCAGATGTCTCTGACCTTTGTAGGACTTGCTTGAGTGGTTGGTCGGTGAGTACTTGGACGCTATGTCCTTGAAAGTACTACCTGAGCATCCTTATTGAGGTGATAAGATCTAGGGCGACCTTCTCTAGGTTCAAGTACTGTGTCTTCGCACCCGTGAGGACCTTACTAGTGTAGTAGATCGGCTTTGGGTCTGACCTTCCTCCTTTACTAGGACTGAGCTGACCACTTTGTCACTAGTAGACAGGTAGAGTAGGATTTGGTCTCTCGAGCTTAGTTTCGTGAGCAGGGGTGGTGAGCTTAGGTAGTATTTCAGTTCTTGGAATGACTGTTCACACTCATCGGTCCACTAGAAGTCCTTCACCTTCTTTAATGCTTTGAAGAAGGGCAATCACCGGTCCACGGATTTTGACATGAATCTGCTCTGCATGGCTACTCATCCGGTAAGGCATTGCACTTCTTTGTATGCCTACGGTGACTACATGTCTAGGATGGTTTGGATCTTTTCTGGATTTGCCTTGATTCTCCTTTGTGTGACCATAAAATCCAGGAACTTGCCAGAGCTGATGCCGAAGGTGCATTTCATTGGGTTTAGCTTCATCTGGTATTTCCTGAGGGTGCCAAAAACTTCCATTAGATCAGTCAGGTGTTGTTCGGCTTTCTTACTCTTCACCAGAATGTCATCCATGTAGGCTTCCATGTTTTGGCCGAGCTATTCCTTGAATATGTATTTCACCAACCTTTGATAGGTAGCGCTGGCATTCTTCAGTCCAAAGGGCATCACCTTGTAGTAGTATAGTCCTTAATCAGTGATAAAGGCCATATTCTCCTGGTCATTTGGGTGCATCTGAATCTGATTGTAACCAGAGAAGGCATCCATGAAGCTTAGGAGCTCATGCCTTGTCATTGCATTGATGATCTGGTGCTTGGTTGATCCTTGGAAGGGGGAAATTGTCCTTTGGGCATGCCCTTTTTAAGTCAATGAAGTCAATGTAGATCCTCTACTTTCCGTTGGCCTTTTTTATCATCTCCACATTCGCAAACTAGTCTGGGTATGTCACTTCTCCTATGAAGCCAGGGTTGAGTAGCTTCTACAGTTCCTCGTTGATCACTTGCCATTGTTCTGAGGTGAAGTTCTTCTTCTTTTGACTCACGTTTCAGTAGCACAGGTCGACATTCAAGCGGTGGGTGATGACCTTGGGATTGATCCCCAACATGTTTACTATTGACCAGGCAAACACATCGGCATTGTCATTGAGGAGTTGTACAATACCATCTCGAAGGCGACCTTCTAGGAGGGATCCTACTTGGGTTCTTCACCAAAGAGGGGTACCTGGACGAGGTCTTCCACAGATTGGTTGCACTATGTCCGTAGTTCATCCCTTAGGTCCATGTTTTCTGTGGTGAGCGCTTCAATGGTGCATGGTCTCCCTCTAGTAACACTGCCTCATAGTTCTCTAGTTTCCATGAGCTACACCCACTCCATATGGGGCCGGGAACTTCACGACCAAGTGGTACGTGGAGATTAAGGCTCGTAGAGCATTCAACGTGGGTCAGATGAGGTAGCGTTGTAGGGAGACAAGAAGTGAACGATAATGAAGTTGACCATTTCCATGGTAGTGATGAGGTTGTCGCCTATTAGTAGTGGTAGGGTGATTTTCCTCTGAGGTATTAGGGAGTCCCTAGAGAATCCCACCAAGGGAGTGTTGACTGGCATCAAACGGTCTTTCTTGATTCCAAGTTGTTCAGAGGCTTCTTCAAAGAAGATGTCGGCCAAGCTCCTTGTATCTACCAATATGCGTCAGACCTGAAAGTTAGCGATCTCAATGGTCATCACAAGGGTGTCGTCATGTGGTGTCTGAACCCCCCTGAGGTCGTCATCGGTGAAAGTGATGGGAGCATCCTGCCGCTATCATTTTGGTTCCATGTCCTTGACCTGATGCATTCTGGCATAGGCCTTGCGAGCCAAGCTGCTCTCTCCTCTGAAGGTCATTCTGCCCAAGATGACAACAATGACTCTAGTTGGAGGAGCTCAGGCTGGTGGTGCGTTAGGGTGGCGCTCTTCTCCCTTTGGCTTGTGTTCCTTGATGTCTACGAACCCGCCAAGGTACCACGCCAGATGAGGTCCTCCAAGTGATGGCGTAGATCATGGCAGCTTTGCCATGGTCTCGATGGAAATCACAGTACTTGTCTCAATTTTTCTTGTTGTTCTGTGACTTCATCTTTTCAGGCCACGTAATGAAGCTACAGTTGTGAATCTACATCAGTATCTCGGCCTATGGTGTGTTCTGGGGAGTGAAGTTTTTGTACATCGGCAATAGGGTCCTCGGTCTGCGGTCAAGTCGGTGGTCCTATCTCTTACTATCTATGTTTGATCTGCGCTCGTCATGGTCTTTCCGCTTCCGTTCATGTTGGCCATCTTCGCTCCTTTGTAGCGCTTGGGCTTCCTTTCCCTATCTTTTCCTTCAAACCAAACATAACCTTAAAGTCTCTCATTTCCTTTGTCGCACTTGCATGAGGTTGGTTGATGTCTTCTAGTGCCTTTGGCTAGTGGTGAACTATGCTAGGAATTGCGTCTCCAACTTCTCCTAGTAGGACATGAACCGTGGAGGAAGGGAGGCGTACTAGGTTCTGGCAACTCCGTAGAAGGTGGCGACGAAGGCCTTGCACATGAGACCTTCGGAGGAGCCATAAAACATCATTATGGCCTTCAACCCCTCAATGTGATTGTTGGGGTCCAATGCTCTATCGTACTTCTCAAATTGAGGGGGTTTCTAGTCGACAGGGGGAAGCTCATCAACGATTTCCTAGACAAAGATGGATTCCTATGTGAGCCGGTTGTAGTGTTGTTCTAAGGGTCGGGCCATCAAAGGAGTTGCACTTCTATCTTCTTGGTTGTGCTCTAGTTCGGCCAAGCACTCTCTTTGTTCTCTGATTTTGGCGTCTCTGTCGGCTAGGACTATGTTCATGGACTTCTCCCCTTTTGGGATCACAGGCCGGTCTCCAACCAAGCTAGATTCGATTGTCGAGATTGACGATTTCTATAAACCTTTGCCAAGTCATTCTTTTGTCGACACACGGGTGGAGTGACGAGATCTACTGCGGACATCGTGCTCGTGAGGCTGGGATGGGGAGTCAAACCTTCTAGATGGTTGTGGTCGTTTGCGGTCGAATTGGGCTCTATGCCTCTACGTGGCACCTTTTGGGGTCCTTAATGTGAGGATTGGCTATAGTAGGCGCCTATGTGCCAGGGTGAGTAGCTTGGGGGACGCGAGTTGGTTGCCCTAGCGTCTCCTTCATGGCTAGGATACAGTTGACTTTCTGCTACATGGATTGGAATTGCATGGGGTCGACCACAGTCTGATGTTGGGGTTTTCGAAGTGGAGAGCTACAAAGTGAGCAGGATCCATGAGATAGGGAACGGGCACCAGTGCTATCGGATGTGTTTTTAGGCATGGTTGTTTTAAGTGCGTAGAAAGGTGTTCGGGAAATGACTTTGTACGTTTCCCGTAGACACCAATCTGATGATGTTCGATCCGAGGTGTTCTGAACCGAGGACACAATCAGGTAATCCTGCCAATTGGACGGGGTCGAGGTGGAAGGACAGAGCTGTGCACCGAGATCTACAACCAGGAGAAAAGGTCAAAAGACCGGGGAATTGTTCCCTGGATAGGTACTCTGATGCTCAAGTCAGTTGGGTAGAGAAAGATGTGGCCGGGCCGAGCATGTTGAAATAATGGTGGTCCGGACTAAAGAAATAGTATAGAGAAGTATTTAAAGATTTCCAAAAGTCCCTTACCTCAAGCGGGGAATACCTATTTATAATTAGGTGTTCCTATCCCAAATGAACAGGGCTTATGCATTTATCGAGATGAGGGCATTCGTTGATGTCTTGTGGAGGTTTTCTTTTCTCCGGTGGAATCTGCTTCCTTGTCCATATAAGACAAGGCATCTTGGCTAATGGCCGGCTTAACCATCACGAGAAAAGGACCTACTGTCCTTGAGTCATGGGTCAGTTGGTCTAGTTGGAGTCTTACAACAATGTATGCAAATGCAATTTATACAGATGGATGAGCTAAATGCAATGGCCGTTTAGCGGGTTGTTGAACCAGTGATAATGAGGCAACAAATCAGGTGGCTTTCGGATTTCCACAATGCAATTGCTCCTCAATCCTCATGCGGTCATGCCATGGAAGATGTTCATGTCTTGTCCTCCCTCTCTGTCTCTGTCGTAACGAAGGAATCACTATTTAAAATCAGTTAAATGGCAAATTCAAAATGTGCCAACTAGATTTTCCCATGTTGGCAGCTTCCCTGCCCCGAATAATCATGCAAGTGCACACAAACGGGCACAGCAGAAAGTACCAGAGCGAAGAGAATGGTCTGCAAGAAGAAGACCGAACCGACTGAGGAACACCACAACGCCGTTAGAGGCGAAGCTGCAGCGGCGAAGGCTGTGGCCGAAGTGGTGGAGCAAGAAGGGGAAGAAAACGAGGAGGAGGAGGGAGAAAGAGAAGCTGGAGTGGGAAAAGAGCGCCCCAAGCTTGATGATGGCTTTTACGAGATTGAAGACGTCAGGGGGAAAAGGGTTCGCAAGGTACTCCACCGGTGAAACTCAAACCCTACCAGTCCACTTGCTTCGTTTGTTTGTTTTTGATATTGGGTTTCTTTTTTACATTAATCTTTTGCTTTCTGCTGCTATGAATTGCTGGGGCAAAAGGGTCAAACCCAGTATCTGATCAAATGGTGAGTAGCTAAGCGCCTTATTTTATGTTATTTCTCAATTTTCACTTGTGTGGGGTATGGACTGGTTAAAGCACCATTTCTACCATCTTCTTTCAGGCGTGGTTGGCCGGAGACTGCCAACACGTGGGAACCCTTTGAGAACCTGGTACAGTGTTCTGACGTCATTGAAGCATTTGAAGACAGGTTTCTTCCTTGCTTTTCTTTTCTTCTTTGTTGATTTTTCCAGTATTCTTGCTTGAGTAGAAAATGGTCGAAATTGCTCAATACCTGACCAATTTTCTTGGGGGTTCTTGTTGGGCTTTAAAGCCTGCGTGTGAGCAAGAGTCGGTGTTCTCGCAAGCGTAAACGGAAGTCTGGAGGTTTCCACACTCAAACGAAGAAGAAGCAGCGTGTAGCTACAGGTTTACAGGTTCTTAAATTCGGTGATAAACCTCTTCCCTCTGCTCCTTCAGACAATTCAAGCCTTGTCAGTCCTGCTGCTACTGCTGATGGAGCAGAAATGGGCAAAGCAACCCAGGGTAATCATTCGAATAAGCGAGGAGATGTTGTGAGTGTTGAGGGGATTGAACACCTTGCTGAAAATAGATCTGTAAACATCTCTATGGAACGTAAACCAAACAATCAAGCAAATGAAGCTGATCCCAGGGTGAGTGAGCTAAAAGCAATGACGCCTAATAATGGAGGAAATGATGAGAAATTTTCAACAAGTTTCCCTGATGCCAAGATTTCAGAAGATGGTCCTACTAATGGAATTTCAAAGGTTGAGAGTATGGAACCTGCTCAGAGCAGTCTCCTAACGGGTGCCAAGAAGAGGAAGTCTGGATGTGTGAGAAGGTTTAAACAGGATTTGGCCTCAGGTGGACCCGGCAATGGTGAAAATCCATTTGTGAGAAGCACTATTGAACATCGCAATAGAATTGGCCCAGTGGGTATAGATGATGCTGAGTCCAATGGAGATAATATGTGTAACAAGAACAAGTTGGATGACTCCACAAATCCATATTCTATTACCAAGATTGTTAAGCCTATAGGGTATTCAGCTAACATATTGAACAATGTCCAAGATGTCACAGTTACTTTCCTGGCAGTCAGGTATTTTTACCTCTACCACCCCATCCTTTCTTTTTCCTTTTTTCTAATCCTTTTAACATATATATTTTTCTATTTTAAACCAATTTTTCTTGAAGTGGGAAAAATGTGACAAGGATGTCTTCATGATAGTTACCATGTAACGGCTATAGATTCTAATTTGTTTTCAAGTGTTAGTCTTATTCTAAGGTTTTAGATTTTTAAACTTCTTGAAATATATTCTTTTTGTATGTCATACTAAGTTCGCAGTTACTAGGAGGGGACACTAGAGAAGATGGTAGCAGCAGTGGTATTCTATGCTGGCATGCCACAACTCAACCATTAAACTTGGACTATCGTTTTAGTGGATTCTATGTGGAATCTTCATCTTCTACCCACTACCAATTACAACATGCACTCTGAACTAAGCCAACATAAAGCCAAACATAGCTCTATGGCTGTCATGCTACAACCCAATCCCTACAAGACTTCTAAAGCATTACCTCATCCGATCCTTATTTTTTATTACTAACAAGAATTTTACTGAGGACCGAAATAGAAACATACAGTGATGCATTGGCCCCATAGGAGGGCATAGAAAACATAGTAATAAAGCAACAAAGAAGCTAACACCTGCAATATCCAGAGTCAGGTTACCCAACAAAATAGGCGTAGAGTCCCCTCTCTTAGCCAAAGCATCTGCAAATCAGTTAGTGGACCTTAGATCCATTTGAATAAGATATTCACTTGAAGAAAGCTCCCGTCTCCCTAATCAAATGTCTCACAGTCCTAAAGTCCTGATATCTATGTTGCATCCATCCACTAACAACTCAGGAGTCCCTGTCAATATCTTAACTCTTAAAGCACTTAGAAAACATCAGATGAAGGCTCTGGAGCATAGTTATGTCATTTGCTCTAACCAAGTCACCATGACCATTCAAACATGAATGCACAATGAAAATCTCTCACCAACTCCTCTGAATGAGCTTCTGACACCAAATGGCTCCAGGCTGCATAATGTGTATCAATCAAAATCGAGTTCAATAGCTCCTGTAATAAGGGTACCTACTCCTGTATATGGCAATACCTATTCATCAATGATCTTGTTATGGAGTCAGATAATCATCATCATCCAACCCAACTATATGGGGTCAGCTACATAAATCCTATTTTTTTATCAATAACAGGAAGCATTTCATTAATATAAGAGATTAAAATACAAAGGAGGGGGGGGGGGATAAAATATCTTAGCTCCCTTAGGGATCAGAATAAACAATCAAGGAGAGAAAAACCAGTTACAAATGAGCTCAGAAAATAGAATCCCTATGCACCCCCTGCCTAGATAATTGGTGAAGGAGTTGGCACTTCTCTTTACCCAAATACATTTTACATCAATGTCCTTAGTCAATCACTTAAACTTCCTCTTCTCATTGTTGTAAAACTACATAAATCCTATTTCACCAATCTGTTCTGTTTACTGTCATATCTGTTGCTAAATTATTGGCACTTAAAATCATTTCTTACTACTTCTACCCACATGTTCTTGTCGGTCTACCTCTTGCCCTTTTAACCTTGTAACAAATCACTTCTTCTTGCAGGTTCTCTTAATGGTCTTCTATGCACATGACCAAACCACCTTAGTCTACTTTTTCTCCTTTTATCACCTATTGGAGCTACTCCTAAGTTCCTATGAATGGCTTCATTTCTGATCCTATCCTTTCTAGTTTTTCCACTCATCCATCTCAAAATATGCATTTTTGCCACTCATTTTCTGGACATGGATTCAGATCTAATGGCAAATTTCCTACTGAGTGTCTGGCTTCACTTGTTCAAATTATCTAACTTGTTTCCATTACTTTATTGAAACATCTATGATATGAACCGTAGTTAAGATCTTGCACAACCATGCAATATCCATCAAAAACAAAACCTATTCAATTAGAAGAAAAACAAGATTCATGGTAGCCAATAATTACTTCAACATTATATATAGAAGAAAAAGTATGAATCCATCAAAAAAAAAATACAAGATAAAAAGACTTGTAACATGAGGAAAAACTAAGGGGCCATTTAATAATGGGTAAAGTGGCTGAACTGAATGTTTAATTGCCTTGCCTTCTATTGGATAAATAATAAAGTGTTTGAAGGTTTAATCAACCCAACCTCAGCTCCAACCATTAAGGAGCTCATAACCTACTTAAAAACTTATTCACTAAGAAACAAAGCAATAAGTCATTCATTTCAATCATCACTTCAGTTGTTTATCAAATGGCCCTAAGCTGTGAGTCTGTGACATGGATTAGAGACGTATATAACCAATCAAATTGAAGAATACTGATCTTTGCTTGGAGGAGGAGTGTTTTGTAAGTTGCAAGGGGGTTTATACAAATGAGTGTAGCCAATTTTGATGAGATAAATTACCAAATGAAAATAGAGGTGGTTTGGAGGAAGGAATGGAAATTAGCATTCTTAATGTAGAAAAGGGTAGTTAATCTAGAGTAAGGAAAAGATATGTATGTGAAGAGGTGTCAATTTAGAAACATAAATGGTGCATGTGAGATGTGATATTGCAATGTGTTCATGGGAAAAATGATGTGTATAGGAATAAAGAACGTTTTCACAAGCAATAATTGTGCAAAAAATGTTTTTTTTGATAAATGAAAATTTATTAACATTAAAGATTCAAGCTAGTACAAGCATCGAATGGAGAGGTGCAAACTACAACCTCTCCCAATGAAGTGTTAAATTACACTATTTTTTTTTTTTGATAAATGTTAAATTGTAAAGATACAACTTACAACTGAGCCCAATACAATTGATCCCTATTGGCCCCTTGCATAGCTAAACAGTCAGCCATTGCATTTGTAGATCTCCCCACCCATTACATTCTTATGTTCATATTCCTTGTTTTCCACTTGAATTTCTTGATTTCATCCCTATAGCACCAAGTGATAGAATCCGGATCCTTCCAAAAAGTTTCATGTTATGTAGTAAAATCTTGTGTTGAAGGAAGAAAATCCAATGGCTGAGATGGGATTTGATTCTAGCCATTTATGCTAGGCTAGCAAAATCATTAAGGAACAGAACAGTGCCTTGTATCACTTTATTGGGCTCTCTCCCAAAAATGTCAAAAGAAATTTATTTGTGGGATCAATTGAAAAGATTGAAAAGAGAAAATTATTTTTCCCCCTTATAGGAGAAGCACTATTGAGTAACTAATCATTTTTTTTTTTAATTTTTTGACAAAGTGATTTTTTGTACTAGTGTGAAACAGAAACATGTTTAAGTTAAGTTGTGCAATGTATCACTTGATACAGAAAAGAATGGGTTAGGTAACATAAACAGAAACATATTTATGTTACCTACATCTGTCTATGTCTACTACTTGCTTTGTTTTTTAATTTTTTTTCACATTTTATAATACTCCTTTAGTACAGTTGATCATCTTATCCCACAATATCTTCATCTAAATTCTTTACTTTTTCTAGAAATTTATTTCTATAGTACATCACCTTTTTGAGCCCCCACCCACTCAATCTACCTCAATGTAGACATGCAAAATAATTAAATAAATATACATCTATTACTGTTAACCTGTTATATGTGGGCAATGTAGCTTCTAGGATGAGCTTATATATTTATAAGTCAGTTGCTCCCTCCTCCCAAGGAGAAAACAAAAGGTTCCTTTTCTTTGGCTGAAGAAAAACAGAAAGGTTGACATGCATTCAATAGATGGGTGCAAGAAAAACTATTCATAATTTTAAAATATGTAGCTGTTATTGTTAGATTATATTCATTCACGAATATGAGGATCACATAATTGATCTTTTCTCAAAACATCATGGCTCAAATGTTTTTGTCCTTTCTTGCATGGAATTGCTTTAACACCCATAATATACAAAATTGTTGAATTACCAAAGATAAATTAATTACAAAATAAAGTTTTGCAACAGTTAATGCTTGCAATCCCAATAAAAAAAACAGTTAATGCATGCAAGAAGAAATTGAAGTGCAATAACCTGTCAGAGGTATGGAGGTTCTGGAATGTTATTTTCAGATGTAACTTTTAGCCCCATAGAAGCTTTTGTTTTTTCTACAATGCATTGAACCCCTTGATCTTTTCTGTTTATGGGAACACCACTGAATGGCTTATACTCCCTTAATTCATATTCTGCACATTTCAGTATCATAGTGTGCAGTCTTTTTTAATTTCGAATTTTGTTTCTACATTTGACCATTCTCTTTTGGACTTTTATTTTCATCTACTCTAGCTTACAAGCATCAGTTCTGTCCAGGAAACTTTGTTTTATAGATGGGTAGAAATTTCCAAACAAACAACTTATATTTAAAGTTTTACATAGTTGTTGATATTATTGTTTGGGTTGAAATTTTATAGGTCTGATGGTAAAGAAGTGGTGGTGGATAGCAAATTTCTAAAGACTAATAATCCTCTTCTGGTATTTTACCCTCTGTTGCACAAATTGTTCTCTCTTAACTATGATTACACAATTTTGATGTAATAATGTAGGAAATAGTTCTATGACCCCTTTTTTTCTTATTTTCCAGTTAATAAGCTTCTATGAGCAACATCTCCACTATACTTCTACATGAGAAAATATATTTGCAAGGATTGAATGGATAGAGGCTGAAATTTCTTCTGATATAAGGCCATGGCAGATTGTTGATTGACGGTTAGTCTTGATCTCCAGCATTGTCAGTTTGGTAAAACCCAAACTTGATCCTTCATTTGCATGCTGTCTATATAGTTGCAGGACATCTGATGGAGTACAGAAGCGCTCTATTGGTTTTCAGGGCACAATGAAAATAGTCTTTCAGCAGGACAAACTTTGGTCATTCACACTAACGCCTTTTAATGTGCTTCCTGCAATACTGGTTCATCATTCAAGTCTTATTGTTCAGAACTTTGATCAAACTTGTACTAGTTTCACCAGTGATAAACTTCATCCCTGGTGGGCTATGTTTGTGTCAATATATGTATTTTAAAGCTTTTGTCTTCATATATTCTATGATTGAATATTCCAATCAAAGTGGGTGTAAATTTATAGTAGACTCATGAGTCTCAACTGTTTTTAGACTTGATCACCATTCTCAACTATGTTTTGCATTTGAAATGTAGTCTCAAGGAACTTGAATCATGTTGCTTTAGGAGTGCAATTGCCATTTAGGACGATTTCTGCCAGGTACATTTTCTTTATATTTATTTTATTTATCTCAGTACGAGTGATTGGACTTTTTTTGGTAAAACAAATATTCATTCAACTGAAGCAGAAAAACGACAGTACAGATAGATTGGACTAGGAACTACTAATTCACGACAATCCAAATGTAAATTATATATAATATACACCCTGTCAGTGGATGGTATCATGGTATCTATAAACAAGATTATATTATGCCATAAGACCTCTGGAGATATTGCTCGAATTTTTTTCTTTTTCTATTTTTATGTGAATAAAGGAGGCTGGATTGCTGGTGGATTTGTGGTTTGGATTGAGAATTAAGGACTCACATTGGAGACGTAGGCCAATCTGTTTCTGTTCCAGAAATTGCGTTGAATAATCCAAGGGGTAGATCATACTAGGGCCTCATCTCTGATAAAATGCCTTGGCCCACCATCATTTTGCAGCTGTATTGTTTTGGTCTAAAACATTCTTTTCGGATTATATCAGAGTGGATGGTTAGTAGACTGTTTCGAGCATAACTGGCAGCCACAGCAGTTTTTGGGATGCCTAGTTCAAAATATTGGTATTGGTATTGGTATGGCATGTATTGGTAAACTTAGGTGCAAATAGTGTCACATGCACACGGTGTTATGGATACACTTGGGAGGAAATTCTTATAAATCCCACATACATTAATAACACTAAATCTAATGTTGAAATAACTATGAATAAATAAATAAAAAATAGATGCTTTAATAGCTTATATGAAGAGATATTTATCAAAAAAAAAAAAAGATAATATAAAAAGATACATTACAATTAACAATGCTAGGAGTCTATAACATGTAGATATCATGTATAATTAGCTTTATTAATAAGACATTAAACAATGTGCTTCCAATCCACTAAAAATTCATTATAAGACACATTAAATTGTTGTTAGAACAATTAGTTTGATAGATCATTGATTGATTAATCTTATAATTTTTACCTTACCATGAAAATCATTTAAAATATGTAAAATATATTATTTTTTTTTAATTTTGGGTTTTATCCTAAAACATCAAGAAAAAAAAATCATTTTTTGACATAAATTACTGTTAGATCAATGGGTTTAATAAATCATGATAGACCCATCTTATATTTCTTTCCTGTAATGAAAATCATTTAAACATAAAAAAAAAACTTTTTTTTATAATTTTCAGATTTTTTAATTTTTTGGGGAAAATCCACAAATGTAACAAGTTTGGACCACCAACATAAATAGATATATGTTGGCAGTTCAAACTATTGGGACAACATACAAGACTGTCAAAAAAAGTATGGTTGAATTGAACAATTCATTGACCTATGCCAATGGTCAAATACTTTTAGTGGTGATTATGATTACTACCATATATCCAAATGGCACAAGAACCATGTGACCCATTCAACATCTTGATAATTTGCAATACCAATCAAGGTTCAAATATGAAAAATATACCAATGCATATCGTAGGATACTATCAAAACTTCAAATGTGGAGATTTTGTGACTTAATGTATCTTATTGGTATAGTCCCTATTGTACATGTTTTCTTTATTCTTTTTTTCTTTGGGAATTTTTGCAATTTAACATATTTTTAATATTAAAAAGGCTCTTTGGGGTGTGGGTGGATTCATTTAGACACCCATAAACCCTATTCTAAGTTCTTTTCTCATTTCGATTAGGGGGGTTTGCATGGTACTAGTACTGGCTTACTATCTTAGTTTTTCATTCAAGGTTGAATGATAATCTCAAGGCATTTAGCATATGTGTTCAAATTCTGTTTTGGAGTTCTTTATGGGTTGTTTTGATAATTTTCTTGCAAAAGACACCCTAACAGGTTGGTAAATCACCTCTCTCTCTCTCTCAATCAGCTAATCCAATCAACCTATAACCCCAGATTTAGTGTCGTCCTAGGGTTCTCTTTCTTCTCGTTTACTTGGTTCAAATTTTAGTTTGTTTCTCCCTTTCTTGGTTCGACAATCTTGAAACTTGCCATTTTTGGACTATCAACATTAAGGTCTTGATTGCTGAAGTTGTTTGTGGTGTTTTCTGGAGTGGTAGTCTTTCCTTATTTCTCTTGTTGAACTTGGTTTCATCGCTATTCTTGCTCGTAGATTGTTGTATCTTTTATGAGTTCTGATAGAATAGACGTTATCCTTGTGAAACTGAATTGGTCAAACTATGGAATTGGAAGTTTCATTTTGATTTCTCTGTTCAAGGGCTCCTCTTTCAATGCTCCGCCGTGTGGAGAAGAGAATGAACAGTGCTTCCTCTCGTAACCTCCTCCGGATTTGATCTGAAGTATGTCGGCCTGGGATAGGTCGATGCTGTAAACGGGTGAGCTCAACGCACTTCGTAGGTGGAAATCAAAGGGTTTGAACAAGTCCCTCCTGGTGTGAAAGTGCTTTAACGATTGGTGAGGCGGGTTGGACTCGTATGAAGCTCGCAGAACAGGGGAGGCCTCAGTCAGCTGTGGAAAGCCGGAGAAAGAAGGAGATGACACCGACGAAGCAGGATAGAGATGATGGCGTTGGAGATGGGCTCTTCACAAATCTCGTGGAAGCTGAGATTGATTGTTGGAAAAAGGGAAAAAAAGATCTCGCCGCTGTTCAACAGAGATGACGATGAACAGTGGCGGAAAGCTTCAGGTTAAGGGAAAGAACCAGAGAGAGATGGAAAAAGAGAGAAAATCGAGAGGGAGTTCTGATATATGAGAGAAAACAAAGCCGCCGCTGCCTCTGTGGTTCGAACAGGTGAAGACGGTGAACAGTGGAAGAAAAATCTCCGCTCTTACCTCTTCATGGGCCGGGCCGGGCTTTTACTCGTCATTAATAGAAATACGTTAGGTTCGAGCTCGAGCCCGGCCCTAATAAAATGTCCGAAGCCCGACCTAACAAAAAAATTACAATTTTCCTTATTCAAAATAGAATTAAAAATTCAGATAGTTTTTTTTTTCCTATTTAAATGAACAATGGGCCTACAAGATGGTTTTTTTTCCTTTCTTTTACGTTTTAAAACACTGTTTTACATTCTTAAATCGAAAAATTTATTCAAATGGACATAATCACATAACCCATTTTATGTCGGGCCGAGCCGGGCTCGGGCCAGGCTATTTTGACAAAACCTGAGCCCGACTCGAATTTATTGCGGGTTGGGCTTTTTGGCCCGAGTTTAAGCCCGTGGGCCTATAAACAAGTTCAAGCCCGTCTGGGGGCCAGGCCGTCAGGCCACTCGGCCCATAAACAGGTCTACTCTGCATAGGGCGAACACGAGACATTCGGCTCCTTTTAAAGAATGCCAGGGGTCTTTTGTGATTTTACAAAAAATCGGGGGTAAAATTGAAATTTGCAGGTTTGGGCCAAAATTGGTCCAGGGGGTTCAAGTCAGGGAGTCTGGTTCAATGGTGGGTATTTTTGGGTTAGAAAATGGAGGGTTGAGATGGGTATGAGTGCAAAGAAGGGTTTTTGTGTGTGTGGGCCAATGAGATCGATCGAAATAGAATCTTTTTAGATGGAAAAATTGTCTTTTAGATTCTCAGCTCTATAAAATCTCATATTGTTGTACCTATGAGGAGGATGAAGATTGCCTATGAAATGTATTCAGTACGTGAAGAAAGTTTATCAATAGTTAAATAAGTCATGACAGCATTAAGTCAAACTAAAGATATTTGTATACTATCAAAGAGATAAGAAGATTCAAGAGTATTATGCTAGCTTCCTGATTTGTTGGTTAAATATAAATTGGCTCATATTGACCCTTTTGACTCTATAGATTGTGTGAAGTACCTTTGGCAATACTTTGAGAAGAGAAAGATATCAACTCCTAATGGCACTTAGACTGGAATATGAGATAGTCAAATCCAATATTCTAAGTAGGGGCTCTCTTTTAGATTTAGGCTTTGTGTTAGGAAAATTGCTTAGGGAAGAAATTAGATTTCTAACTGTAGCTAGATTTGATGAAAATTTGGTGGAATCTAGGGCTGAAAAAACTTTTCTAACACATGATAGCAAGAAATCTTTCATTAAGAACATCTCTAAGACCCAATGTTATGAGTGCAAGGGTTTTGGCCATATTGCATCCTATAAGCAAGGTTCAAAGTATCGGAAATGTAAGGTGTATCGGAAAAACAATTTTAAGAGACGTATCAGGATACACTTTGGATACGCATAGATACAGACAAAAAATTAAGATACATATAAATATGTTAAGAAATTCAAATATATCCTAAAAAATATATTACTAACAATAATTACAAGTTTTAAATTATTGTAGATAAGTTATTTAAATGTAAACATCCATATTTACAATCATTTAATTGTAGATAATTACAATTAATAACTGTTGAAAATGATGGAATAAATTAAATGTGAGAAAAAAAAAACTAAAATATGAATGTGTATACATCATTTTTCAAATAACCAATATAAATGTTATGTATATATATCAATTTATATTAATATTCATTAGTATACAAATTTTAATAATTAATTCTAACATTTATTAATAAATATCCTTTAGAAAAGAGAAAATTTACTTAAAAATAGTAATGCATACAACCATAACAAACAAATGGGTGTGGCCTAGTGGTGACTTACAATTGTTAAATCCTAGTGAATAAGGTTCGAATCTTGCCATTATTTAGAATTCGAATTAGGCATTAAAATTTAAATTTAAAGTATGAGTAATTGACTTCTTAATAAAAGAAAAGTTAGAATAAATATAAAAGTAATTAAAGAGATTAATGAATGAAGGATACCCAAAAAAAATCAAGTGTATTGGGCTGTATTAGACTATTTTAGGTCCATATCGGCTAATACAGAGTCAAAGCAGCTCGATACGGGCCTGTATCAGTGCGATACATATGAAAAGAAATTGAACAGACGATTTTTACACATTTTGCATATCAGGCACTTGTCGGAACGATACGTATCGACCGATACGACTCGATACGTTGCCAAAATTTGAACATTGCCTACAA